GATTTTTACCTAAATACATTGCTAGGAATATGTATAGAATAGTGGGGGGAATTTTTTACCATCCAAATGAATTGCTTTCTCCTTTCAAAGATGACAGTTGTGTTTCTTACCATGCCAATCTTAAGTGTAGATTATACAAAGTGAGCCCAGATATCTGATTGCTGCCATTTCAATCTAGCATACTTCCTTTCATCCAGCAGTGTCTACAGATGGTTCTTAACTTGCAGAGATTAACATCGATGCAATTGCCATATCAACTTTTGCAGCTGTTAGTGGTTTTCCACTGGCTACCGCCATTTCACATCTTAATTTTGAAGTTTCTTACTAAAGAGACAACAGGAAAAACAATACAAACTGTCACTCTTCACAAATACATTAAAAACTGACGCTAAAGATTTTAAAGTGATGTTACTTAGACTCCAATTTTTAAAGTGGTCTGATGGTCTTTGGACAAATAAATATGACATAGGCATCTTGTTGCGGCATTTTCTTTATTGTTTTGACAAAATTAAAGTTCACGAAAGCTCATGAGCCATTTCCAGTGGAAAAATAAAATGGCTAGAAGATGGTTATATCACCCACAGGCATGTGATGCTTCAACTTCCTCTTTCCTTTTCCCAGCTGTTTCTTTCCAAGTAACTTCATTTCTGCATCCTCTTCCTTGTTGGATGTAAGAAGACCTTGCCCTAGGTACTTCCTTACAGATTCAAATCAAGATCAGACCTCAAAGAGCAATTTTCCCATCCATGAGTTGACCTGATTTGTATGTAATCACCTGGGTGACTGAGTCACTAGTCACCGGCAAGTGTATCTGCTTGTCTCTTATTTACCTTGTGAGGCTGGGTGCAATTGACTCACTTTCAAAGTTTCCACTGGCAGTGTAAGTTTTGGCTCTGCATCAAAAGCCAACTGCATTTGATGGGTATTTCCTGGCATAGAGTGGGTACTTGAATTGTTGAATGAATGAAAGATCTTACCATCTGCCTGCCTCTATTTTCCAAGTAATTTTTATTTTCTAGGTTGTTTTTTTGCTTCTCCCTCTCCCCACAATATTTCTTTAAAACATTAGGAGACATTCCTGTGAGATGATGGAAATGTCCATTATAAAATGTGCTTAAAATTACATATTCACTTTACACTCAAAAAGCAAAGACATCTTTATAATCTCCTGACATCTGCTTGTTGCTTTTCTAAATGTCTAGTTTTTCTTCTGGTTTACAGCTCTTAACACACTTAAGGGAAGTATGGCCAGAATATGTTAAGTGAAATGGACAGCCACTCCTGGGTGTAGATAGAGTGCACTCACCTCTTAGTGTATCCTTAGTTTTTTCTTGGAACATTTTTTTCTGCCTATCCTTCCTAAGCAGTTTTTTTTTTTTAATTTTTAGGTTGTCTTTCACAATTGAGAAATACAAAGCACTGAGTGAGAAATTGCAATCATCTTTGTTTCTCCAAAATGGGACGTTAGATGTGATTGAAAAAATGACCTCCGCCAATGTTAGCTAGACTAATGATTGGAAATGAAGACCCTCAGTGCTGTTCTGCATCTGCTAAGAGTGGCTTTGATGGAAGATGCCTGAGGTCTGCCTGTTATTGGAGCCTCGGCCACTTGCCACTTCCGCCAAGCCCCACCCCACTGCATGCTCAGCAGTGGGACACAAAACCCTTAAGCAAAAGTGCATGGGATCAAAGCTAGAATAAAATAACAGGATCGCAAAGCTGTGCTGCATGTGCAGATCTTCTTGTCTTCATTCAAAAAGCACGATTTAAACAAATCTGATGGCCTTATAAAAGAGCAATAGGAAATATTTAAAAACTTTGATAACCACAGCTGCATATATGATTTAATTACTCTGAAAGCCAGCCAACAGTTCAGAAATGATTCTTTTTCTTTTAACTTGTGTAGTTTTGTCCTACTGAGACTTCAACTCAGGGCATGGGCACTATACCTGAGCTATTATGCTAACGGCTAGAGTTCTACTACTTGACCCACACCTCCACTTTTGGTTATTTTGTATAAAAGTCTCATGGACTTTCCTGTCTGGATTGGTTTTTGAATTGCACTCTTCAGATCTCAGCCTTCTGAGTACTTGGGATTACAGGTGTGAGCCACTGGATCCTGGCTGTGTACTTTTGTGTAACTCTCCCTCTTCTTTTGCTCATTCTGTTCACTCTTCCTTTCTCTCTCTCCTTTCTCTCCTCAGAACTCTAAGTCCAGCATGCCAATCTCTACCTCATGGCCTTATTATTGTGGAGCACAGTTCATTAAGAAAGTGGTTTCTGAAGAGGAAAGAAGGATGGCCAATAGACACATGAAGAAATGTTTAACCTCCCTAGCCATAAAAGAAATGCAAATCAAAACAACATTGAGCTACCACCTCACCCCAGTTAGAATGGCTCAAATCAAGAACTCTAACAACAACAGATGCTGGAGGGGATGTGGACAGAAGGGAACCTTACTGCATTGTTGGTGGCAGTGTAAACTTGCTCAACCACATTGGAAAGTAGTGTGGAGGTTCCTCAAAAGACTCCACATAGAGCTCCCCTATGACCCAGCAATCCCACTTTTGGGCATTTAACCAAACGTTCACAAACAAGACCACACTAAAACGACTATGTATATTACAGCACTATTTACTATTGCTAAGATATGGAGCCAACCCAGATGCCCCTCAGTAGATGAATGGATCAAGAAAATGTGGTATAAATACACAATGGAATCCTATGCCTCCATCAGAAAGAATGACATTGCCCCATTTGTTAGGAACTGGAAAGACTTGGAAAAAATTATATTAAGTTAAGTAAGCCAGGCCCAAAGAAACATAGGTCCCATGGTTTCCCTTATTTGCAATAACTAGTATATGTCTGAGATAAGCAGAAATGATCAGATAAGTTGATGTTAGGCAAAATGAACCCCAAGATAAGGATTCAAATGGTTTTCCTTTCTTGCTATAGTTTCTAACATATTTATAATGTACCATGTGATATCTTTGTTTCTTTGTATGTTCCTCCTCCACAGTATGACCCCTGTTTTCACTGTATTTGATGTTGGTGCCCTGCATCTTGTATATGTCTGAGATAAGCAGAAAAGGTCAAATAAGTTGATGATAGGCGAAATGAACCCCAAGATAAGGACTCAATTGGTTTTTCTTTCTTGTGATTGTTTCTAACATATTTATAAGATGATTTCTTTGTTGC